ATTCAATTTCTTAGGTTTAGGCAACAACACCACTCACAAAACCAAAACTCACCGTAGAGCACAACGTCATGGTACGGCTCAATCTCAAAGGCAGTAACCTTTCTTGTTTTTTTTCTGCTGTAGACAGCACCCCCTCAATGTAGGTGGGATTCTTAGCTGATCGTCAAAGCGACGCCACGTGAAATTTCCGTGACATAATCACAGTGTGGCAACCGGCAACCAAATAGAGGAAGACCACGGCGTGGTTTGGCAGGCTAAAAATCTGGGTTGAACTGAGATTGCTATTGATGTTAGCTTGGCTATATCAAAATGGCAGGTTTATGCATGATGTCCTCATGTAGCGCGAGTGATGATTCTCTCTGACCAATCACAACCCAGTATTGGTATCAGTATCAGTATCAGCTCGCTTGCTTGAGGGGATACCGAAAAAAGCACCAGGTACCACCCTGCCCGGCAACTGGATAAGCAAGTATACGGAATTGAGAAACAAGCTCTTTTTAATACTTTCCATCGGTTAAACATTTGTAAAACCCAATCAGACGTAAATGGTGACCAATAGCATTGATTTATGACAAACAGGTGATGAAATATGGAGTTACAAGGTTTCCACCTGACAGCGATTATAGATGAGTATAGATGTGTAACAATGCTTCATTCCGCTGAAGATTTGCTTTCAAAACACAACCGACTAAATTCCTCTTTGGATCGAGGCACTGAGCTGTTGATTTTGCCTCTTTCATGTTGCTTTTTTGCTCCCTGATTGAATCAATGTTTTATGCTTTGTTATGTATTCCGACTGTGAGCACACTGCGTCCGATTCTTCACAGCCTGGAGTGTCAGTGAAGTGTGTTGAAGCTCAGAGACAGGGCAGCTGTCTCCAACTTGTTGTTGGGACTCGGAGCTGAACTGTGTGGTCACTGAGTGGATTGATTTGGGGGGGGGGGGGGGGGGGTGTTGCCTACCCTCGGCACCAAGTTGCATCAGCTAATCTTTTGAATAATGCAGAATCATGAATAAACATGGATCAATGCAGTGCAATACTGTAAAGGAGACCTGCCTTTACCCCCTTCTCTTTTCCACCCCTGCCTCCATTTTTTCAGTCCACTCCCTCTGTCTCTTTTCTCAACACAAAAAGTCTATTTTTCCTCCTTTTCCCTCCCTGTCAAAATCAAACGCTCCCACTACGCCCCCCCCCCTCCTCTGTCACTCTCTCCCCGCCCTTTTCTTTTCCTCTCTGGCCACAGCAGTGACAGACATTGTAGTGCCGTAGTGTTGCTGTGTCTCGGTGCGGACGAGTCAGGCCCGGCCTTCACTCTCGGCTCAATGGCTGCCCGGGTTTCCTCAAAGGCAGTCATCCAGCCAGCACAAAGCCTGCCCACTGGGAATAGACCCACAAAAGAGAAAAGGGGGCTGCTCGCCTCCTTTGCTCTGCTCCATCTGAAGCGGCCTGCCTCCACCACCTCCTATAAATAATACAACGCTGCCTGAACAAAAAGAAACCCTGCCCTGCTCCCGCAAGCCCCTGCTTCCATCTCTCCTTTATTCCCTCCCTCCCTCTACCCTTCCCCTGTTCCCCTTCTCCTCACCCCTCTTACCTCTGATTTTAAATCCATCCAGTCAAATGTTACATTAAATAATGTACATGTCTCTGTGATCAATGTGCTCATTATACTTTGTAGTCTTATATATTATAATATCGTATCTTAGCTTATCTTATGGAGCAGTGTGCCTGCACAAGTGTTTTAAATAGTAAGGTTTGAGTGAAGATGCTTGTGTTTGGGAAGTCTTGAGGATACGACTGGATAAATGAATAAATGAGAGTAAACTACACAAGTTAAGAGGTGAGAGTTTGAAAATAAATGTTTTGATAGTTTTGCTGTTGTTATATGCAGCCTCCATTTACTTCAATTCAGCAAGGCTACTGTGCATTTTTTTGGTTTATTTTCCATAAGGATTCAAGGTGACACAAGGCGAGTAATTCATTTACAAACAATCAGTTGTTGTTTTCCTTTAACCAAGTGTTTTCAGTTGCAACAAGTGCTGCCCTTTGGGAGGCAGTTTTAAAAAACAGCATTTCAGAAGGCCAAGAGGAACTTTTCCAACTGTTGCTTAACAGTGTAATATTGTACATCAGGGTTTGCTAAGCTCTTAGCACTAATACATACACTGAAAAAAACAAACAGAGGAAAAGAAAGAAGAAACCTCTAGAAGAGCAACAGAGGAGGGATCCCTCTTCAAGGATGGACAGAAGTGAAAAATAGATGTCATGTGTCCAAATAAGAATCAATCAATCCACATGGCAGAAATGACACATACAATGAGAGCAGTGATGGCAGTAGTAGCAGTCATAGATGGTAATAAAAGCAGTACTTAAAATAGAAATATGACAAACAATAATTAGAATATTAACTAGCAAGTAATCCCATAGTGTTAGCACTTCATGTTAGCCAGCTAGCGTTAGCCCGCTGTCATATTACTAATATTAGCTGGTGATGTCTCCTATGACTAGAGTTGAAATAGTTGATCGAAACATCGACACTGCCAGCCAATTCATTGATTCGTCGTGAAATTTCTAACTGGTTTGCTTCTTGCCAATTAACTCAGCTAATGTCAAACAGTAACATACCAAATGGTGAATAGTGCATGTTCTGTACTGTTTAGGTTCTCTAAGTCATTGCAACTATAAACACTTGGTAGGAAATCCAGTTCAAACATGTGCACGAGTGATGTTTGTGGGAAGGCGTGAATGTGTGTGTGTGTGTGCATGTGTCAGTGTATTAATGTGAATGTGTGCACAGGGATTAGGCCGCTATCAGGGAAGCTCTCCCAGCCTGTCAGGCTTTAGAACGGCCCAGACAAAGAGGCTGATTTCAATGTAAATGCAGCAGCTGAGAGGACACAGCTCTCTCAGTGGGGTGACTTCCACCCTCCACACACACACACACACACACACACACACAAAAACACACACACACGCACAGAGCATGGAGATTTGGTAGAGGGAACATCAAGAGATAAAATATTGAAGAGTGTCGCACAAAGTTGGAGATTGCTAGTAGCGGAGTTGATTTTGCACCTGTCAGTAATTACAGATGTACTGTGCTCCACAGCGCTGTGCTGCGGCCCTGTGTTGGCCCTCACAATCCAGTCTATCATTAGGACAGCCATTATCCCCGTGGCTGGCCTCTGCACCTCTTATTACATGCAAATAGTGCAGCTTTATCCGAGTGGTGAATGAGACCCCGGCCTCTAAAGAATGGGACACCCTCCTTGCCCACTCAAAGCCATTCCTCCATCTATTACTGCATTCTCTGCTTCAGTGCACACGGCACAGATCTCATGGCGTCATCAGTGTTAGAAAAGTCGGGGCGGTTTGGCGGGACGCAGAGACGTTGAGAGAGCTGTCAATGAGACTACTTGATGAACTGAACAGCTAATGATCAAATATGCACAATCGAAGCCCAAGGTGCATTATAACATTGTTTTTAAACACGTTATGGTCTATTTTCTAGTGCTATATCACTATTGCATCGTATTTCCACTTTTCAAAGCTAATTTGACTTTTAAGATGTTTTAGTGGCACGTTTTTTACATATTTATTTATTGCTAAGATTGAATCTATTTTTTCCTTTACCTGACAGAAACTGGCTCCCATTTTACAGTCTATTGTCTCAATCAAAATATTTTGCAACATATGTATTTGCTTTTAAATGGGGTTGCTATGTAGAAAATACGGAAAATTAATTAAAATGGAAAACTCCAGGGAATCAACTTGTTTTCTGCTCTTTTCTTTACACTGTTAAAAAGTAGAACTTGACCTTTCTTCATGAACAATTTTTCAACAATTTTCAATTTAGGAGTTAAATTCAGTCCTTGACAATATATAAAAGTAGTTTCTACAATCACTTGGAAAAGATACTATTGTAAGCTTTACGGAAGAAATATCTGTTATATTTATGAAGAAATGTTTGTTAACATCCCTACTGTCAATAGTAAACATCTTGGAAGGAAGATTTTGGGTTCCATCTTCATGATGACGTGGCAAAACATTTTATTGAATACAAAGAAAATTACACTAACAAATCCTATAAAACCTAATACAAGATCATTCAATGATGACATGTAACCCCAGCTGTTCAATATAAATCTATGTGGTACAGCTGTGGTACCTACAGTCAGTTTATCTAAATTGAGATGAAGAGAGTATTCAGGATAGACCTCCAAACCCACCTTTTTACTGGGATTAGACTCCAATTATGGACGTAGGTGCTGGTGCATTCTTGGAGCGGCTTTGTTTGCTGCATGCTTCACAATATTACATTAATAGTTAAACCATTGATATTTTAGCGTGGCATTAAACACTTAAGTGCATTTTGCCATTTGAGAGACATGTGTTTAGAGGTACTCAACTGATGTGGTTGTAAAGGACCGGTTTCCCAATAGCAATAGAATAATTACATACTAACCACATTTAGTAAATTCACTGCTGCTGTTGCTCTTTTTTTTTGTAAGGCTGTTTGTTCTTTTTTTGTCATTGTCAGTATGTCTTGTTTGTTGAATGTATGCATTTCTATTGTATTATACAATAATGATATTGAAAAAAAAGTAGAAAAAACGTTCCATTTTTTAAGAAATTGATTGACGAGGACACTTTAAAATAACATTTTTGTTCTGTTTGAACATCATGAGCACATTTTCCCCCCATTTTGTTTACACATTTATAAGAATCTCTGAATGGTTAAAACAGCCAAATGCAGGCTAATCCACACAACCCAGAATATTGTCAGCATGCTCTCAGCCCTGAGAATTAAAAACAGAAACACATTCTTCTTCTTTTTCAAGGTCAGAATGTGGGGAACTATGATGCAAGGCACCGTTAGCCTACACTCTACTTTGCAAAGGGGATGCTATTTCATGTGAACATGAATATCAAACTAAAATGTAGATTTAGCTACACCACACTTCATGTCTCTTCTTCTTGCATGGTAATGAGCACGTACCTGTCAGGCAATCGTGTGCAGGATGCTGCCTCAGGTCAGTGTTTGCTGCCAGAGGATGCCTTGCCATGGCTGTTCCTTCGTGCACACACCTGTATGCTGTCCCCGCTCTCTGTCTGCAGCTTGACATTTGGTACGGTGAAGATAGAAGACACTGCGGGGGGAGAAGACGCAGGCAGATTAGAAGCGCGCAGGCTGACAGGAAAACGAACATTTCAGAATAAGTTGTTCAAGACAGAAATGGTTATTAAGAAGTGAATACATGAATATTTATTTTGCAGCGGGAGTCTTTTTAAATGTTGTTGTCATAGAAAGAAGTATTTTTAAAGGTATTTTAAGTTACATTTTAACATTTGATTTTCTTAAATTGGAATATGTTTGGAACATTGATATGAACTGAGACATATTCAGGCTCTCACCGGCAACATAACCGCTAAACATAGTTGCACAGGAAGTTGCATGGAAAATACTATAAGCGATGTGACCCTTGCGTGTGAAATGTTTTAAAGAAAGAAGGTCATTTGTTTCATCGGTTCCTGTTATGTCATATATTAGCCCCTTTTCACTGTAGGAAGTAAAGCTAAAACCTGGGGCTTCCCATGACCTGAACTAACCCATAATCCTTTCAGGCTTTGGTAAAAGACTCTTTCTTGCCTATCTATCAAATGCACTCGAATAGCCTTGGAGTTTAGTCAGTGGTGGGCCATCAGGGCCAGCAAGGCCTTCTCTACTGGCCTAGACAGAATCACAAAGTTATAGCTATTTTATAATCTTTTTTTTTTCCCATTATCTTATTTTCTCATTGCACACAGCTACTGTCTTCCTCAGTTGCTCTGCTTCCAGTGCAGCTTGTTTTAAGTAGAGCTTTTATCCAATCAGATTTCACCTCTGTGTCTCTATGTAAGAAGAGAGGCCTGAGACCTGCAGACTCACAAGTGAATCCCTTTGCAGTTTAAGTGAATGGGGACGATATTGTTGATTGTCATAGTCTTCAACCAATCAGATCTTTAGTTTGACATGTTGGGCGTATTCTTTGACATGTCAGCGCCTTCTAGCTGGCCTAGCCGTACGTGATTGGTCAGTGGGCTAGCGTGACATGTTGGGTGGTGACAATCCCAAAATCTGCTGCCTCTGTCGAGCGGACATTTTCAGCCCTCAAACGTATTAAAACCTATTCAAGAAATACAACTGGGGAGGCTCGACTGTCTTCACTGGCGTCCATGAATCGAGAAGAAATTCTTACTGGAACTAAAACGCACGGATGTACTGAACAACCGTGAGATTGAACTCTTTGTAATCAAAGAAAGGAGGATGGACTTTGTCTTTAAATAGTTAACAGCAGCTCTGGTAAGTTAAATGCGTTTGTTTTTACATCTGCAGTAGCTTTAATATGCTTGTTTATATATTATTATTTGTACAACTTGTTTTCATGAAGATGGATTTTTGTTTGGTTTTATATGTGATAGGAACTATTGTTACATCCAATGTTGCGCTGGGGACATATTTAGCCGGTGCCAGTGTTGCCAACTTGGCGATTTTCTCGCTAAATCTGGCGACTTTCCAAACCCTCTTGGTGACTTTTTTGTCAAAAGCTACTAGCGACAAATCTAGCGACTTCTTCTGTTGTTGTTGGAGACTTTTCTGGTGTTTTGACTCTGACGTGAAAGCACGTACGTTCTGCACTGTCCTGAACGAGCAGCGGGTGCTGCCGTGAGCCCCTCCGCCGCCCCAAAGCACTCACAGCTCACTCTCACAGTAGTGCGCAGCAGTCCCAGCTGCAGTCAGAGAAGAGAGGAGACACACTCTCGGCGTATTCATGTATCTGCACTCTGCAGTTAGTGTATTTGTAGGTGTTGAGCTTCATTTTTACACGAAACAATTAATAACCGTAGCTGTGGCGTCATAATGAGGACAGCAGTGAAGGCCCAGGTATAAAATGCACGGCCCTGAGTTTAGTCCAAGTTATTTTGTTCAGACTGGCCTCATCCAAGATTCGGAGCAAAAGCTAGATTCGTAGATATCCCATGAAGTTATTTCCTTTAGTATCCACGTAATTGTGAACGAAGAAGTATAGAGCTGAATCACACTCAGGGAGGGCGTGAGAGGGGGTGGATGGGTCCAACAAACTACGATCTTTCAGTCAGGGGACAGCTGTTCGTTGTGAAACGAGAAGTCAACGTTGACGTTTTTGTCACGTATGTTTCACAAGTTATGGCATTTCGTGACTATTTTAACCCAAACAGCGATCTTTTACGAAACCTTACTAAGTAGTTTTCTTGACTGAACCTAACTGATTTTCCTGCAGAGAAGGAAGTTTATTTTGAAATGACCGTATTCGTGTAAACGCACGAAACATGAGGAGTAACTTTTCGTAGGAACTGCTTGATAAGGACACGTTGTTGTGTTATGTTACCTAATTTAGAAGTTAGATCAATATACATCCTTTCAAGGAGGAGTGATTAACACATGATTTTCAACCATAACAGACGTGATCACACATGTGATGTTCCACCATTGGTCCTTGTGATGGTGGTGACCGAGCCTGGAGCTCTGCAGCGGGACGCTGTTGCCTTGGGGAGGCGTGCCTCACAGATTGAAAACCCATCTGGCAAAGGCTCATCGGTATCGTAGTATCTAAGGTTATCCAGCTAGCCCAAACTGACGGTGTCTCTAAGTTGCCAACGAAGCTGGAATCATTAAAAATGTTGGCCATAACATTGTGATATTATCCTGAGTTTTCAAGTTGGTGAACACTGAGGATACCATTAAAGAAAGATATGAAATAGTAATTCAGGGTGAGGAAAATACCCACTAATCTATTCCATTGGCTCATTGTGGTTCTGATTCTATTCTGGGCAACAATAGGGATACAAAGTTGTTTATTCAGCACTAATTCCTATTGGAGGCAAATGGATTGAAATACTTGCTCAATGTGGGAAGAGCACATCCTCCTCTCTAAGTAGGAAATAAAAGCAGCAGGGGAAACGGACTGCTCTGTCTGGGCACTTTCTTTTCTTTCACTTACAGATCTACAGTATATAAGTCCAGAGAGACTTATATAGAGGCCCCTAAGGCCTTTGCTCTCACTTCTTGTACTGCCAGACACCCACACACTCTCACTGAAATCTAAATTAAAAATGTCACAATCCAATCCACACAGTAACAGCAACCTCAGGAGCTCTTATTGTCTCAATAATTCTGCCATTGTCCATGGTAATCTGTCTGGGTATTGTCTGGATAAACCCATAATACACATGACAATAGAGTGCACAGTTGGCCATAGAGAACATACGCTTCATCCCCGCAGGGATAACATGGGACATTTACGTGAAAGGTTCATCAATTTCTCCACCATCTCTGAGATGTTTTTTCCTTGGCCATACATCCTCCGTGGTTACTGGCAGTACTGGGTGTTATGAGCGGAGTGTCATGCTTTCACTGGGCTGCTCACAGTGGCTCCAGTCTCCCCTGGCGGAGGAACATGATTACCATGCTGTGGTTGTAGTCAAACACTCACAGCTGGAGTAATTAGCCAGTTCTTTATCTACATTCATTTCTCATTTGCATAATTTTGACACATCCTTCCCCCACAAAACTGCAAGTGGCAAATCCACACACGCACACACACACACACACACACACACACACACACACACAAGGAGGATACTTTGTGTTTATCCACTCCTGTCCTCATTTTAGGAAACTGTTTTAAGTCACTTCCATTCTTCCCTCGGTGGCTCTACTGCTTTGCGTGTGTCACATGTGCGTGCAGAGATGAGAGAATCAGAGAGAGAGATAAAGCGACAATAGAGAGAGAGGGAGAGAGAAAGAGTGAGCGAGCATGACAAGAATCTAAATGAGCTATCTCTCTTCTTTCCCTCTCTTAGTGACCGCCGCTCTCTGATTCTTTTCAGACATGACAAGCTGCTGGGGGCTGATAACAGGATTAATAATGCTGAAAAATCCTAATCGGTAGGAATTTAAAAAAATTGAACTCTCCATTAAAATTGCCACCATGTCAGAATAACAGCTTATGGGATTGGTTATGTATGTAGCGTGTCATATAATATGGACATGTCATCTCTGACATATCTTCATTCAATAACCTAATTCTGTAGGATTAATTGAAATACAGCCTTACTGTGAAGCTTTGGCTGAAGCATAAAACAATGTTAATTCAAATCTCTGGCATGAGACTGATCTCAAAACGGTCACCAACATTTCTTGATCTCGAAATTTACAAAGGTGTACAATTTGTGCGTAATTTACAAATACATGTTCCAAACTACACATAAACACCAGGCAATGTGAACACATAGAACAGTTTTAGTAATGTCAACCTGAATAAAAAAATTGAATTGAATTGAACTTTATAGATGAACTGATGAACACTTTTACAACAGCAAAAAAATATGCATAATCCAGGAACAAATAGAGTTGATTTTAACATATAAAGTTAGCTGTGACCATTTCGAGAACAAACTAAAATGTAGATGTATTGAAAGGTAAGACGTATTTCTGAGGTTTACCGAGTGCCTCAGTGAGCTCTAGACGATAGAAAAACAAACTGCGCATGTTTCTGCGGCCAGCAGAGGTCCGGCTGGACTTACTGTCCCTACGGCATCCACATAGTAACAGAGGCTTTCTCTGAGTGAACAAAAACAACCCGGGGTTGCTGCTCACCGCCTTCTTTACAAAGACAGAGAGAGAGAGTAGAGCAGAAGGATACTGTAGGGGAGGAGCAGAGGGAAAAACTAAACAGAGACGGAGTCAAAGCCATAGAGAGACAGAGAGCTTTCTGACTGTCAAGGTGCCAGGGCGTAACGTGAATATTTTGCCGAAGTTGACAAATTTCAACTCATGCATCGCAAATTCGCGCCGCGCCAGTCTCATCGCGTCTGTGCATAGACTTTGTATGTAATCTACTCGCGCGAATAATTTGAGCCGCGTTTGGTGTGAACGCAGCATAACAAGTGGAAATTGACATGTGTTGCTGGACTTTCGTAGGAAAACGATATCATACAAAGTACGAGGATACGTTTTATCAACACCATCATGCACCTGTCCCTTTGACCTCATGTAGTATCTTTGCCTCACCTCTCTCCCTCCTACCCACTATACAATTCTCTGCTGGCCCCCTGGGGAGGTGCGGCAAGAATAAAATAATAAAATGCACTTATGATGCACTACTTCAAGTAAAGTCCTGCCAGCACAGACGGGTGGTGTACATGTTGTGTTACGTACTGTCCTGCAGCTCCCAGAGCCGTGGAGGAAGGTTGCTGAAGTACTCGTGGTTCAGCGCCGCCTGGGCTGACAGACGGTTCTTTGGGAAGCACTGGAGGAACCTGGAAGCCAACTCCTCGGCATGGTCTACGTAGCCCACCCTGACATACACAAACACATATGATCAGAAACATACAAACACACACACAGTATATACAGAGATGCATCAATAGAAAACAGGCAACCGCTTCTACTTCTACAGATCAAGCCTAGAGTTACCTATCATACCATTCATTCATCCCTCTGAGAAAGAAACACACATTTCCTCCAAGTCACAGAGCTGCTGACAACAAAAAACAAGTCTCTTAATTATGCTGAAGGTTTGCTGACTCGAGGAAAAAACCTTCTTAGACAGGCACGTACGCAAGAGAGCACCCACACACACACATGCTTACACCTTGCTCCTTTGAGCTTGCCTCGCACATGGCGACTGGGTCACCGTGAGAAACACAAAGTGTTCATTAAAGCCGGAGCTTTGTAAACGCGTGTGTGTGCATGTGCATGTGTGCGTTCGTACTGGGAGTCACTGAACTGCTGAACCATGCCTGCATCGCAGCGCCGACGGGGAGAAAGACTTTGAAAATAAACGAAGAGCAACAAATTCAGTCAGTAATTAGGCATCCACTGCATTAAATAAACATGATGTTATTCCACACAGCTCGCCAGCCCCGCCGTTCGCAGTGCTCAGAGTGTGCCTCTCATGTTCTGCAAGCTTCTCATGGTTGGCTCCCTAGTCAAGCACTCTGACAGCCACTCCCATGGCTCTCAATGGGGATCTCAGCTCGACTTATCAGCAGAGAGACAGAGGGAGGATAAGTCTCTGTTCGACTCGTCAACGCCACTAAGCAAAGAGGCAGAGGTATAGTTAATGAAGTCCATCAGGGCCTCTTCTTGCCACTTCTGTATGATCCATCATACAGATGGATCATCCAGTGTAATTCCACTGCAAAGTATAAAGACTTGTGGGAAACTATACTAATGGAAAAAGGCCTCCTACATCACTGTTTTAATGATATGGGCTTTTAAGGCCAATGCTGATGCTGGATCTTCAGTTTGAAGCAGTTGATATGAATTCAACCACTGGTGGCACAAAATGACAGTGAGAGGATTTTGTTTGAATTTACCCTTTGCTAAGCCCCGCCCCCCGCTGCTACTCCACCGAGTTGTCAGAGCTACCACACTGTCACTAACTGCACTCCCTGAAGAGATATTATGTAACTTTTTGAAAACAAGTGATTTCAGAGAGAAGCAGAATTAGTTTAAGGTATATCCAGGATATCAAATTGAAAAGAGGTTAAAAAGATAAGGATAGAAGCTAAAGCTACAGATCACAGTGCAAAAATTAACCACCACATCACCTGGCGATCGAGAAAGAAGACAATGTAATTAAGGACTAACATCTTTTCTGATAAAGCCGAGTAGGTAGGTTTTTATTGGACGGGTCAAAGAAACACAGGACTTTCACCATGGAGACCGCTGTTTGTGTCCTGCGTGGATTCAAAAGGGAACTTTGTCTTATTTTTGTTGGTTACTTAACCTTCTGGCTACGAGTCTCCCCCATTTGGGGGCACTCTGGCTCAGCACCCCTGAAAATATTGTTCGGAAAATAGCCTTATTGTTCGCCAGTATTGTGGATCTGTCCAGTTTTTTTTCCGGATTAACCTTTTAACTACTAGCCCTATTTTTAGCCCTCTGCTCGAAAATTGCATAGCCATACTCAAGAGAGTAAACTACCCAAACTACAAGGTCTATTTTAATAATTTTGATGGTCTATACAGGTAACACTTGTGAGATGTGTTCAATTGTGTAAATATTGTGTATATGTTACTGGTTAATAACTGATACACTTATGGCACAGCTCAAGTTGAAAAAGTTCCAGGTTCGCCTGAAAAAAAAGCACTTTCATTGAACCTTTTTTTGGAATTATTGCAGAGTGAAGCCTACAAATACTCCTGTGTCATAGCACAACAGGGTTGTGGTCTCTCTAAGCTAATTTTACTTAGATTGAGTGAAGCAGGCCAGCATAATAGGAGGTCTGAGTACAGAATTTCAAGCCGAATGCTCATTTCTCTCTCATGCTCTATTCTAATTTTATATATTATATAACTATATATTTCACTTTTTTTATCACTCATATTATTCAATACATCCAAATACAGATGTTAGGAATCATTTTGAGATTCCTGACATCATCAGAGCCTGTCTCTGGCTCTCAGCCATAGGATTTTCTCAGTCCCTGTGTGTGTATGGCGCTGTAGCTCAGCCTATCATCGGTCGATTTCAGTCAATAAGCCCTCCTTCGACGCGTCAGAGTCTCAGGAAGGCGTGTGTCGAATTTGGTGTTGATTGACATAAGTTTCAGCCAGTAAAGTTGAAAGAAGTGCCGCGTCTCCCCGTGCGTAAAATTCCATTGGCCGAAAGTCTGACCGCTGGCCCGGGGTGGGTTGACCCCCCCTTCCACAGGATTAGCCGGCTAGCTGCTAGCTTCGTGGTGAAAATATTGATTTGAGGCAGACATAACGCCGATTTCTGCCCAGGATTTCATGATTTTATGCCACATTTTCTAGATGCTTATACTAGTAGTCTATAGTTGTGTTTGGAGTGTGTAAAAAGTGACTTATATGATAGTGTTGCCCATACGTTGCTGTTTAACTTACTTACAAATATACTTATTTTAACCAAATCCACAATGTTTTCCTGAATCTAATCAAGTGTGTATTTGCCCAAACCTGACCGAGTAGTTTTAAATGAATTCACAAAGTTAACAACATGTTTAAAACTGTGAGCGTAGTGGAGCGTCAAAGTTAGGTGTGGGCTATCCAGTGCATTAAAAAGGGACGCCAAGTGGTCCTGACTAAGTGTCCATATGTAACGAGTTGGGAATGAGAACTGGTTGTAGTCTACCGGAGGGCCTTGCTCAAGGGCACTTCAACGGTGGTAATGAGTGAGAGGCAAGTACTGGTCCCTCGCTCATAGAAAAGCTCAGTATTTCAAAATCAATGATCAACCATCAAGCTCAATCTATCTGAGATGCTTTGGATTCTATTAATTGCCTCGGTTCCATATCCCCCCCACAACATTGTACACTTCAAGGCCCAACTCGCAACAAGCCATGCTCTAAATCACACGTGTCAAACTCAAGGCCCGCCACGTCAAACTCAAGGCCCGCCACGCGAATCCACCAGCAAAAAAAAAAAAGTGTTTTTTTTTTGGTTTTTTTAAATTTTGGAAAAAAAATTAAAAGTTAGATTTGAAAATAAAAATATCCCCATGGTCGAAATTATGAGATAGAAAGTTGAAATTATGAGATAGCATGTTGTGAAGTATTATCACCGTGGCTGGACATTGATTACTTGTCCTCCTAACAGTCACTTGGTAACAATATGGTTAATTAGTTATTACCTTTTTTTTTTTAAAACAGGTGGACAGCCCGTAAAGCGGTTTTCCAACAAGTGATTGAGTTGAAAAAGATCAACAAATAATCCCAAAATGTCCACGAAGAGAAAAATTGATGCAGAGGGAAGAAAATGTAATTTAAGATGGGAAAGCGAATACATGTCTGGACAAAAACGGGTCTGTCTTCTGATGCGTGTCGGTGATGAAAGATACAATTCATATATATATATATTCTATTCAATATATTTACAAAAGCTACAGCCCAGTGCATGCTAAAGGTACTGTATGTGAGCAGGTGTGCTCCGACCAGATACAGACTTTTACAAATGTCAGTTTGTGAAGAAACACCATCGCAGACCGAGTTCAGGAACTAGCAGGCAATCTAACAACACAGCTAGCTAAGAGACGAGATACATCATCTATCAATGTTTGTAAGAGGCTCAAGGCAGACCTGACTGTCAGTGAGGAGCTCTTGGATGTAGCTGCCATGCACGGGACGACGGCAGGGAGGGACATTAGTGATGCAGAGAGGTGACAAAAATAGCTTTGAACAAAGTTAATGTAATAACTTGTTTGATGATATTTGTTATTTTCTTTAAAAGTTTGATCTTTGATAGAGTAATGTGGGTTTCTTAACCCTAAATTAAAATCATTTATGTTATAATAACAGAAATGTGCTTAAATATCATTTTACATTTATATAACTGCATGTACAATATTTTTACACTTGAATAAACAATAATCAAAAGCAGAGACAGTTATTTGACAATATGTTAGGAGTAGTTACAGTTATACAGTCTTACAGTTACAACCGGCCCTTTGAGGGAAACCATGATGCTGATGTGGCCCGGAGTGAAAATTAGTTTGACACCCCTGCTCTAAATAGTGCACCACCCCTTCTCCCATAGACCACTTCTATACCAGACCAGCTAAACTGAACATTTCCAGAAAGTTAGTCTGTTTATTTTGGAGGGCTTATGTGGCTCTATGCAGGAATATAACATTAGAAGACATTAAGAGATAAAACAATGCATCGAGTGTCTAAAATGGAAGGGGTTGTCTTCTGGGGAGCATGAACGTGCCCAGTACATTTTATCTCTATTCGATTTTAATTCTTCAGTAAAATCAATTTTGGTCTAATTATAGCACAAGAGGAAAGATAAGCAGGCCGAATCAACATTTTCATCTTCTTGGGAACATCAATATGGAGACCATCCAGTGTTTGTTGGTTGGTTGATTGGTTAAAGCCAAAACATAGGGAGGGGCTGAAAAAAAAGGACTCAAAAGTCATTCATCTGTCTTGTTGGCATCTCCCTAACTTTATAAAAATGAAATGCTAAATTTAACTTAAAGGATTTGCTTTGTAGTTTCTCTGCAGGAATCAGGACAAACAGGTAGATATGTTTAGGTGTGAAATCACCTGGAGATGAGCATGCTGGCCTTTGAGAAGTGTCGATGTACAATAGGTGCACATTCCTTCGTGCTATTGCTGTCAGCTAGGCCGAGTGACTAAGTGCACATCTGTAGTGAGATCGATCGTATCTCCTAAAACTATCAAACAGCTCCAGGTGCTGGCACATTCACGGCAGAGAGAAGCATTCCTTCTTCAGCGGTGCATGGCGAGTGCTTTTCCACGGTATTCTATCAGAAAACTGCACCGAGGACCCGGTGCGCACACACACACACACACACACACACACACACACACACACCACCACCACCACCACCACCACAGAAAGTGGCAGACCAGTGTTTTTGTTGGGGCAAAGCTGCAGCAGGAGCTGTTTTTGGAAGACAGCCTTTTTGTCTTTTATCTAAAAACTAGTGCTGGGCAAGTTAACGCGTTATTAACGCATTCATTAATTAACGGCGTCAATTATTGTATCGCGCGTTAACGCAGTTTTATTTTATTATTAAGCGGACATTTTTAACACAAGAACCGGGCAGCGAGCGGTGAACAGCTGTGTTTGTGTGGCGTCACTTCCTGCTGCTGCTGCCCCCCCCCGGGTGACACGCCCGGTCCGGAACCCCCCTTGACTCCGTCACCGTCGGTCCCTCCTGTCTCACACACACACGCTCGATCGTCTCGTTACAGGATCGTGACAATATCAAAATACATATTGTCGTGTTTTTAAATGAACATATAAGCACGTGAGAACAAACTGCTCTTAACTGCAACTCTTTATTAGCATAACTTCCACATGCAGGTTACTGCCAAGGTACAGACTCCCTCCAGGTTCCATGCTTCACCTACATTCCCCTGGGTCCTAAGTCCCTCCAAGTACAGCTTCTTATCACCCTCTATGTACCAACGTACCTTTATAACGAATACCACACATATTACGGTACTCAGCGTTGCATATGTGTGACCAAAATACCAAAAAAAAAGCAAAAAAGAAATGATTCATTTAAATTATTTTAGAGTTTTTAAAGTTGTTTTGTTTGTAATATGTATAATAAGCATATCATTTAGTTATCGCTACTGAGAATTTAACAAACATAAAAATAAAAAACATGACGTAGATAGGTTTGCAGTTTTCAAGAAGTATATTTCAAATTGCATCTATTACACACATGAAGATAAAGTTGTGAACACCAGCTGAATATCTATTGTCAGAATCATTCTAACTGTATTATGGCTGCTACTGTGTAAAGGGAATACTGCTGTTAAAAATAACCTTATTTGTTTAAAGTGTTTGCAAACCAAACGTTATTGCACTTATGTTCATATAGCAGTACTTTTAAAATAAAAGTGCGCAATACACTACTTTTGAATTCATTATTGAACTTTGCGCAAAACAATGCGATTAATCGCGATTAAAAATGTTAATTGTTGCCCTACTAAAAACATCCTATGAAGAGCTTTCACCACGTCCGACTCATTTAACGATGAGGGTGTTGTGAAGGCAACTTGGAAATGTACATGGGCAAACAGGCCTTAGCATGCAACTTCATCGTGGTCACATTCTGCATTCAGTGGCAGTCCACCGATGTAGGTTATTGAAAGCAGATATCAACATGTTTGATCATAGTCAGCGTTTTCAAATGTATCAAGTTTTGATGCATAAAGTTGTGATTGTGTCTTTGCTGCTCAGTGAGAACAAAGCTGTTACAGATACATGTGTTTTACGATGTGACATGACTCTGGTTTTGTTATCCGGTTATGTTTAGGGAAAGATCAGGGTTTGGAGACCTGCGTCGCCATGGCCACTATAATAAACACCTGGTTAAGGTTACTCGTCAAAGTTCAAAAGCACATCGAAAAGCTGCATCAATCACTCACATTGTTTCAGCTGAATGAGGAGAAACAGAGAGACAAAATGGCTGACAGGGAGCAGAAAGCAGAGAGCAGGAACCGGAGAGCAGGAGAGGGTGAGCCAACTCTCAGGGCAGAGACAAAGTGAGTGTCTAGGTTCATATCAAATTCATCGCTCCCTGGCCTGTGATAAAAGGCAGCAGAGAGGAAGTGATGGTCATTAACATTCCACCTCACTTTCTTTCCTCACATTTTTATTTCCTCCTGGAGAAAGGGCCAAAAGACTGGGAGGGTAAAAATCCACCTCACTATACTCTGCTTTTAACATGGCATCAAATGTTTTCAATAGACTTCTTTAAATGCTGGATGCACAATAATGAATAATCTCCATCCATTCTCTATTCCCAGTTGTTAGAAATTGGAGCTGCAAAGTTTTTATATGACAGCAGAGAGACTTTTATCTTACAACTGTTGATACCTGATTTAATATTCATAAAATATACAAAACAAACAATCGTATCAATTAAATCATTACATTACAACTCCGGGGTACCAGAAAGCTGCTCTCTTTCTGTGTGCAGCATGAAACCCAAAATCTCAGGAATTAAAAACGCAACGAAACATAAGATTCAGCTTCATACAGAGATGTCCTTTTTGGCACATCATGTTCACAAATGTGTGTTGTAAATGGGATTAAGGACAGAGATTATTATAAATCACATGAGGAACACAGGTATGAAGCGTCCAGTCAGCGGGGATGGATCCTCGCTGAAGCAGCTACACTTTGTGATTCCAGCTGATTAGACAAGTGGAGTTTTACATAGATCACTTGCCTGGTGCTGCTTTAAAACCGCCTGTGGAAAAAGAGAGAAACTCCCCTTTGCCCTCTGCGGCCTCCCCTCCAGATGTATGCCTGGGGCACACAGTGGCACACATCTGGGACCAGCCCCCGACAGTGCCACCATGACCTCTTCCTGCCATATGCGTCTGTTGTCCAGAGCGGAATCACACACACATATGCTGCAGGAAGGGAGAACGCTAGAGGGAGAGCATGTGAGCTGCAAAGAATGTGTAAAGAGTGTGTTCACTACCCATGGGAGTATGCCTCTAAAGACAGGAACGAGGGTAATAGTGTGTCAGCTACAACACCCCATGACATAACACTACACGCACACACACACACTCACTCACACACACACTGAACTCGTATTTGAGCGGTTCACTTACTTATTCCAAGCTTGTCTGAGCTTCTTAGCGCTGTACACTGTAAAGCGGTCTGTAATGAGAAGTGGACAACAAACAAATAATCAAGTCATTTGTCATCACTTTAACGTTACACACATGCTGGTCTGTTTGATACAGACATCAAGCCTAACCTTATTATTAAAAAAAAAAAAAATCTGTCAATTCAATGTTGCATTGGTTTATCACCTTATCACATAACGTAATTTTCAAAAACACTTATCATTCACTGAGTTTATTTTGTTCCTTGCAATTAGCCTGTTTTTCCAATCAGTGTTAACTATCAAAATAAAACTCATTTATTGTGAGATATTTTCATATAGAAAACCTGACAGTGGCTTAAAGTGCACATCGCTTCCATTCCTCCAAAGGTTTTGATTTAAAACATATGCAAAAAGTATCTGCAGGAAGAGATAGTAACTTAAGAGCACTTGGGAAACGGCAGCATGAAATTAATAGGAGTTCATTAGTGACTGAAAACAGTTTTTTTGCTGAAAAAAGGGAAACTGAAAGTGAAAAAAAAGTGAAAAGCGTTGTGTTCCAATACTACCAATTTATTTAAAAGATTCAGTATGTCCCAATACATAAATGTCAAATGCAGTATGTCAAAAATACCAGGATGTTCTACTACATTTGTTCACATTCTGCAGTTTGCAAGCCAGCAAGCATTTCAGGCTATTCTGACCCACAATCCTTTGCACAGCAGATACATGAGCAAGTTCAAGGTGCTATGTTATGATGAAGTAGAATTACCCAACTGAATGCATACTGCATGTAACTCGTACTTTGTAAGGGCAGTTCCATTTATGGAATGCAGTGAATCCCTCTGTTAGTGATGGACATGTATTTGTTTGGAACCAGTGTGTGTACTGTGTATCATCACTATATGAAAATCATGGTGTTGACTCAACCACAGAGTTGTTTTATTCAAATAAATTAGTAAATCCTGCATAAAACGTCAACCTTAAATTAACAAAAAATAGTATAGTCCATCTTAGTCGCACAAACTGGTTGATACAAAAAAGGACTAAAAAGATAAGGTGATGAGTCTGTCCACAGACGGACTGAGAGAAACATAAATTCCAGACCTCTTCTGTGGTGGTTCCTGCTACAGTAGGAGTAAACAGAGGGACGGTGTGGAGCTGAGAGGAAGATGATGGGCATGTGTTTGTAGATATTGCAGGTAATCTCTTTGTTTTGCAACAGTGATGGTTAATCTTTAAAATGACTGTTTGGACATTATTTAATTACTGTTAACTTCTGGAAGGATTATCTTTAAATATGACTATTAGTTGACATTGTATTGCAATGAGTGTTCCTTCGTATATCTGATTAATCATCTCCAAATTAAGGAGTGGCTCTTCTCAATGAGTAATACTGTATAAACTATGTACTTCCACTCCAAAGCCAGATCACAATAAATTGTGAGACTTTTGATATGAGTTTGGTAAGACTATGTACTGTGTTTATTATGCTGTGAGTGTGTGAGGCTCTGCACTCTTCTCTCAATCTCAGCCAAAACTGCCATGTGGACATACAGGCGGGCTGAGCTGCCAACTGACTGGCCACCACTCAAGCTAGCCAGCCACCCAGCGAGGTAGTCCACCTCCCAACACTGCCAGCCTAATCCTACCAGCCAGCCACCCAACTGTCAGCCAGTCTACAGTGGGTCCAGTCATCCAGTTCAGTGCCAGGGCTGGTCTGAACTGGCCACAGCTTCCTGGAAGCCAGAGGTGAAGTAAACAGAGGGACGGTGTGGAGCTGAGAGGAAGGTGATGGGCATGTATTTGTAGATATTGCAGGTAATCACTTCTTTTTGTAATAATGAAGATTATTGTTTGAAATGTTTGTTTAGACACTATTTAATTACTGTTAACTTCTAGAAGGATTTAACAGGAGGATGAGGTTTAATTTATTATTATAACAGACTTGAGCTGCAGAGAGGCATCCTTGCAGATCAATCCAGATTAGTTTCTGCCATTTAGAAACCATCATTAAAACGTATGTACTATGTATGTTGTATTGTATTTGAATGAATACGTTCCATACATACAACTAAAAACCAATGTTGAAGATTTTCTATATGAAATTCATAATTTCTTGAATTTACATTTCAATGTGACATTTACTGCAGCATGTGGTGGTCATATGAAATTATAAACACTTAGGACTTAGAAGATGCACGGTGGTGCAGTGGTTAGCACTGTTGCCTCATAGCAAGAGGGCTCTGGGGTGTTTGCATTGGGTTTCTCCCTCACACAGAGTGCAATGACATGCAGGTTAGGTGGATGGATAATGGGCAGAGGATGGATAGACCAATGACGGATGGATTGATGGATGGACCAATACACGGACAGAAGGATGGATGGGCGGATCATGAAGTGATTGATGGATAGAATTTGAATCTACTTACTTGAACCATGAACACCTGTAAAGCAATTTGAATATCAAAATTAGATTTTTGCAAAAACAAATCCTGTAACTATTATGACAGTCTGCAGATTATTTTATAATCTCTGATCATGTCAAACCCGCACTGGGCCAGCCCCCTCAAACGGTCTGGGTGCGATCCAAGGCTGGACCAATCAGTCTTTAAAAAATAAAATAATAATAATAATATTTAACTCGGTTGACCCGGCGGCCTGACTGATCCTACTGTCCTGTTCTGGAGCTCCCTGGCGGTGCCCTGGTCATGGTTTGCTGCCAGTGGACGGGGCGATACTGCCCCTGACTTTGTTTATGTCAAAAGCATTTTTTCGATTATTTTGTAATTTATGTAATTTGCCCTCATTTATGTACTTTCTTATGTTTTTTTTAATTTCATCTCAAAAGGCCCAGACACGCACGCACGCACGCACGCACTCACACACACACACTGTTCTCCCATACACGGACTATATGTTTGCTGGCTTGTATCTCACTGCTCTTGTCGTCCTCTTGTTATGTCTATGTATTGTCTCGTGTCTTGCAATAAAAACAAATCCTGATTTTCAGAACTATGCAATGCACTAAACATGACTTTCAAAGCAGTCAGATCCTAGTGCTGTTCACACTACACAACTTGTTGTCTAGTAATCGGGAGTATTGTGTTTCAATCGTGCTTGTGGTTTTCACACTACATGACTGACTTGACTTTCACCAAGACAAATCCCTGATGAGGTCTCCAAACCACGTGTTATCATGAAAACACACGCAGGAAGTGACACAGTCATAGTCGTGCTTGCTGATGTCATGCTCACATAATAGTCTGTTGCCACACGTCATTACTATTTCCCCTATCTAGATCAGTCGCTGTGTAATATGTTTGTTCATGCAAACACCCAACTCCCTAGGTGTAATAACAACACATAGCTCACACAGGTCAGCTACAGAGGAGGAGACCCCTCAGCCCCGTGTCTCCCACTCTCATTGGTTGTAGCTCCTTGAGAAGCTCCCAGATATTTAACATGCTAGATACATGGAATGTGTCTGCGGGCACCATCGAGACTCTCAGCTCACGTCTTTGGACGGTTCGCACATGGCACTCGAGTGTTGACGTGCGAGAGCCAACGTGGATTTGCCTCTGATCTGGGGATTTTGTCCAGGAGCTCCAGAATCTGTCTGGGAGCAGAGAATCAGGGCTGAAGTTGTGTAGTGCGAACCAGGCATTAGTCCATTCTGGGCTGCTGTAGAAACATGGCAGAGCAACATGGGGGACTCCATGAAGAGGACCAGCTCCTATGTAGATATAACCATTCAAAGCTAACGACAACGCAACAATTATTATTTTTTAGGTGATCATACACTAAAGAAATCATACGCATTATTAGTATTATATCCCCTAGATGCTACACACTGGCCCTTTAAAGCATTACACTCAAGTATTACTTCGCACTGTGCTCTTTAATCTGGCATTAGTCTTGATGAGACTTGCTGTTTAGATAAGGCTGACTGAATGACGGTCTCTTCCTGTTTTTCACCTTTTAATTCAATGTCTGTATATTACATCCAAGTTGAAGTTTAGCCGGCTGGGTGCTACTCCATCTTTGCTACAAAACCGTGATATGTGGATGAACATTGAAGGGAAACTCAATTAGCCGCTATATCAAATAGGCATGACAAAGACTCACTTCACAGATACCGTTGGTCTAGTACAGAATGCAGTGTAAAAGTCTGACCTGATAGGTGGGGAGCTAAAGCATAACATATGACTGGAAAGTATCTGTGGAACCTTTCCATAACCACAAAACATGTGAAAAATAAGCAGTGCCTCCACTCTGAGGTCCAACCACACGGCCCTGTCTGAGATCCAACTTCAAGAGCAACGTTTGGGATGAAATACACTCGAGAGAATGTGATGAATCATAACCAGCGGAGTGGTGCAGTCACTGTGTTTTGGAAAAGTGTGCAGATAACAGTCAGCTCAGAGGAGCTCAGTGATGTGGAAACAGGAAAGGTTTTCCACACTGACGCAATACTGCCATCTGCTGCCCACTGCAGCCTCTGGAATGTAGTGGATCTGACAAACTGGACATGGAACAAACTGTGCTCTAATCTATTCAGACACATCAATACATATTAGCATGGTGGAACATTGCAAATAACTTGGATTCAGCAGGTTATCAGGTTATCATCATACTTTTATTATAGCCCAAACTCAAGGCCAACAACCCTTTTTCTTTTAATATTCCGTTTTGACTGTAACGTCTATCTATTGTAACTCTGACATTGAAACAAGTGACCATCCTGTCATGGCCTGTGCCCACTAGCTCTATTAATAAATGAAGAGGAAGATATAAAGATAAAAATACATCTTTGCACTTTAGTCACATGTGGACAGGTAAAACAGGAAGCGGAACCATTTATTGTGTTACACACAGAGCTGAATGCTCAAGAATCTGACCCCTCTAACAACCTTTATTTTAATGAAATATATTAGGACACTGGTGCCAAAAGGAATATTCAGACTTTAAAAAAAACGTAAAGGCTTAATGAAATATGCTGAAGTAACGCCCTTTTCACATAATTTAAATAATAAGATATTTTGCTTTGGTTTTAAATAAAAAAGAAACCCATCTTGTATTCACTCTTGATTATATGAATAAACAAACAGTTATTTGATCAGTTGTTTGATTTACTCTTTCCCTTTTTTCTCTCCTCTGTTTTGTTGATTATTTTATTTCAGCTTAGTTATTTTTTCCTTTTTGGTATGCTCTGTAACTATATGATTTCAAAATGCAGAAAAATAAGAACTCCAGAGGTGCTTTAAATCTACTTTGAAGTCATTCAAACAGTGAAAGTGCATCTTTGGATCATAATCTCATTGAATGTGGTAATCTTTATTTTCAACCAATAAGATCATTGCCAAAAAAATAAAAAATAAAGATATAGATATATATATATATATATATATATATATATGTAATTTTTTTCTTCTAAATACGTATATCACATCGCATCACTGATACATATATAAAGTCCATCCTCTTTGTCTTCCTGTGTTTGTTGAAAGTGCAGCCATGACAGCATCAGATGTGCAGACATCACATGAACAGATGCAATGCTTGGAGGCTATACCAGGCAAAGCTGTCCATGTGTGTGTGTGTGTGTGTGTGTGTGTCTGTGGCTCAGACAGCTGTTCACAGTGTGTGAGAGGCAAACAAGAGCCGACCGTCGCCATGGCCACAGGATGAGAGAGTGCATTTGGATGTGTTGTGCGTGCGTGTGACCACGAGAGTCACCACAGTTGGTCACTAATTGGCCACTGGAGATGGGAGGCGGCGACACACAGCTCTGTGATGCCTAGCCACCCCGCACCATCACTCCGACCCTCTTTATGTCCGCCTTCGCCTGTCCCCTCTCCTCCATTCCAGCTCTCTCTCCCTCCATCAGCTAACACTAATCTGCAGTCCCTCTATTCATGTTCCCTCTAAAAAGCCCTAATGAGCTCCCAGAGGGCATGGCTGCCCTCTTGCGTTTATGGAGTACAGCGAGCTTTTGGTTCATTTTGATGGTCAGGTGAGTATGTAAAACAATGTGTCCCTGGTAGGTCATTGGCCAGTGGTAAGCAACCTTAGGCATACATAGCTCAACCAATGGCACACTAGCAATCAATCTGCAAGGGAATTATTATGCCTCTGTGCTGGTGACAGCAGGACGGAATTATATTTTTGGGTTGTCTAACAGGAATACAAGTGATGACATTTTGGATAGACGTGTGTTTAAACTGACACTGATTCTAGTTTGGAAACATTAAAGTGCACTCTCATCTGCACACCAAATGACCTTCTTCACAGTTATTGGCAGTTGAGCGACCTTATTTTTGTTATTATGTTAAGTTATTTATGGTAGTTTAATAGATAAGGACATTACCTTTCCGGTTTAAACAAATATAATTTGGTTCTTCTACCCAGATTTGGTCATAAGCTACTCATATACATGTTATTCCTACAAGACAGTAATCATGAACAACTCACTCCCAAATTCAAAAGAAGTTAATGAAGGTTTACAGCATGCATGTATTCACTGTGTGTAACGCTGGAAGTTACTTTATGTCATGAAAGGTCTCACCTGGTTTGAAGTGAGGCAAAGAGTTAACTCCAGGCCAGATATCCTCAGATGGGGTGCCGAGGACCTGAAACACACACCGAGGATAGAGATGAGAACAAATAATACGCTTTTAGGTTAACTCCAGCACTTTTTAAGTAAATAAACCCCAGTTTACCATCTTCTATGTGGATTTATAGGTAACATTTAACAGGGCAGTTAGCATGAGAAGCTAACACATTAAAGATCATACAGAAAGAATAGTGATGATGTCAGTACTCACAACACACTATAACTATAAATGATTAACTCTTAAGTGTTTGTGAGTGGTTGATGTCTATCAGAAGGTTGTCAGAGGAGCAATAGGTAACAAGTGTAAATGATGCATTATCTATTACAGACATGGTTTCCTAGTCGTTCTTTGACTGTATTGGTATGAGAGAGGAAGAGACACTCGTTTGTAAATTCCATTCCCATTGCCGGTGCAATAGTCACGATTAGTGTAGCGTTTATGGAGAGGTTGGCTGGAGTTCTCACGCACACAGCCTGGGGTTTATGATGACAGAACCCAGAGCAGCGGACATGCCTTCCACATGATCCATCGCAGCTAAGCAGCATAATAGTTTCCAGATTGTCTCTGATCTGCAGCACACTCCTACAGCAGAGTGGCTGCTCTGGGATCTGCTGTTGGACTACACTGCTTACAGTGGAGGTGTGCTGTGGGATCATAGGGATAACAATATTTCTGATGGCTGTCTTTCACGTGGCTGACAGACACAGGAGAAGAAGAAGGTTGAGGGATTTAGAAGATATATGTTTCCATACACAGATAAATCCCAGGTCAGACAATGATGGGTTTAAAGTTGCACAGCTAAAGTGAAGCGGAATGAAAACCAGAGGAATTTACAAAAAAGGTCAGAGGCTAGTTTATGTTGGCCCATTATGGGAGTCATAGTTGGTGTAATAACAAAACACGGCACTAGGGGGCAGTAAAGCACCACGAGGACAACCTCAGAGAGCCTTCAGTGAGAGCAGTCAGGACAAAGAGAGTTCCATTAGCGAGCTCAGCAACTGAACTTCATTTAAAAACGTCCCATTGTTATGAATCTAATTTGTGTTTAGGAGCAATATACCAGTTAATGGAGAATATCGTGGATTATATCAACATATGACAAAACATTAAGACAACCGGTCAAATGATTGAATTAGAAACTGGTTTCAAAGCTTTCGTATAATACTATGCCAGTAATGGTGAAAGATAAGATTGACATTGTATGGGAGTCAATGCAATTATGTTGTTAACTGTGTGAAGAACTTGAGGTTGTGGAGAGTCAAACTAAATACAGTACAGCATGTTTCTTTCGTGTTCAGTTTGTATTCTTTTGAAATTACAACGAATGATTAAAGACCAGCATGAAGCTTTGACACATGTTCTGCATATGTTGGGAGTCATAATGTGAAGTATTTCTGACCAGATGTGACTTTAATTGAAATGTTTTATGTGCACTCATCTTCATATATGTCATTATGAGATTTTTCTATTTGCATGCGTCTTCTGAATACCAGCTTTAGAGTTACACATCATTTGGCCTGCATAATATACTGTAGTTTTAAAACATTGTCAGGATTGGTCTGCAGCAGACTGATCTTAAAAAAAAAACATGTTCAGCTGACTATTTGACAAAAAAGTTGATCTCTGAATCCCTGAAATACATCATATTTTTTAAAACATTTCAACGAGCATTGTTCTGTGATGCTACTTCTAAAGTAGACATATCATGCTCATTTTCAGGTTCTTACTTGTATTCTGGGTTTCTAACTAGAACATATTCACATGCTTTAATGTTTCTCATACTTTCTCTCTATATTCTCTGTCTACTGCGATCCCTTTTAGCGCCAGTCTCTTTAAACCCCCCTCCGAGAAAAAGCCCCGTCTGATTGGCTGGCGAGAACAAACAATGGTGCACTATTGCAAAGGTACTGTGCATTCCTATACCTATACCATCACACCATTAAAAATGCCAGAAACAGATTTAGTATGGTCCAATAATAGATAGTATGTTAAATGCAGCATGCCAAAAGTACCAGCATGTCCTACTGCATCCATCATGTCACACCACTTTGCAGAATGACAGCCAGCATGCTTTTCTGTCTATTCTGACCCACAATCCTCTGCGCAGTAGATATATGAGCAAGAGGGTCAAAGTTCAAGGTGCCATGTTATGAGGATGTATGTCCAAATTGAATGCACACTACTTAAAACAGTGCATACTTTATAAGGGCAGCTGCAGTATGTACTAAAAGTAAAAAGGGAAAGCATGCCATTTGGAACGCAGTCATAGTTCTCAAGCAGTGGGTGGAGATTCTCAGATATTCTAATGAGCCTGCATGTGAGATGGGAAGGGTGTAACATCCCGTTAGTTTCATGGGTGTCTCTGTGTGTGTGTGTGTGTGTGTGTGTGTGTGTTTCCCCTGATTGCACTCATCCAACTCACCTGCCCAGTCCACCCAGCTGCCTTCAATCTTCTCATCACCACACACATATATACTCCCCTGCTTTCCCTGCTCTGGTTGTCAGATCGTCATTGTTCATCCCCTTGTGCTCTTCGTGTCTCTCGTGCTGATCCCTCGTGTTTGTTCAATGGTTTTTGACTTTGCCTTTTTTTTTGTTTTTTGCTCGCTGTAGGAGTCGCTTTAAGTTCTTGTTTATTACCTTTTTGTGGACCAGTAAAATCCCTTGTTTTCAACTTCACCTCGTCTCCAGTGTCGATCTCTGCCCCAGAATCGTGATTTCCTGATTCAAAGAACTGGCTGAGCTGTCCTACTGTGGGTTGGTGAACACTCCAGACATCAAAAAATCATCAAAAAGTGAGTTTTTTATAATGTATCCCCTTTAACTTGAATATGCAACTTAAAACGGGACAATCAGAATAAAAACAATTCAGCATCTGGTGGGGAGATCAAGGCTGAAAGCCACTCCGCATTGTTTCTTCGTGTCACATGTTGTGCAAAGTGGTCAGTACTGTCACCTTATGAGCCTCTTCTCTGGTTTTCTTTCTCTGAATACCTGCCACTGATCTACCATCAATACCCACACAGTAAAAGAGGGTCTGTGGATGACTGTCAACTGACCCTCACACCAAACATTTACTGTTTAGAGGTGAACTACGGAAAGGGAGACTTCCACATCAGATAACTTGAGAGCTGTCCGGTGCTCCCTCACATCAGTGTGACCTTCCAGCTTGGATGAGCAGGGTCATGATGGACGGGTGGCTGAGTGTTCTGCAGACAGCGGTGGGCAGGGTGAGTTATAAAGAGGGAGGGAAGGTTGTTGGAGTGTTACAGAGCTGCAATCAGCTCGAGAGCTGAAACATCACTGCACATCCCGAACAGCAGAGGAAGCTCCACAAGGTTTTGTCACACAGGTCAGTAGTTAGTTATGTCACAGCTGTTGGTATGAGACTAGCTATTTGACAAAGCAGTAGTAGGACTGTTGGAGAATTGAATTAAGTATTATCCCACATCAGAGCCTGATGGCTTATAAACCCTGTAAAGATGCTTTGAATCATCTTTTTCAGTTCTTACACTGACTACCAGGTCTGGAGACGTAGAGGATGGTGGTTTACAGGTGGGCAGTCCCCATAAAGAGACAAAGCTTACATTTGAACACTCAATATTTCTTTATTACAATTGACTTTATTGAAACAAATATAAAAGAAAAAGCTTGTAAAGCTTAATGGTGTTTTATCTTAACAGCTTCTTGGTAGGTAATGACCTACAGCATAGATTAAATGTATTGTTTGACTTTCACAATCAGCTCAAAAACGACTGGATTCTTGCTTTTCAAATTTTCCTTTATGGAAATAAAATGGGTTCAGCTGAGGAAAAGCTCCTGTCATTTTTACTGATTCAGATAATAGACTTTCCAAATTTAAGTAATTGGAGGTAGATAATGTATGGTCATCAAGCAATCCACAGTTGTGTAGTCTGAATGTAGATTGAATTACTCTCTGCCCGTTTAGAGACGACACTGCATTCCCTCTACACCAGTCCTTCAAACTAAATGACAAATACAGCACTTAATATAATACGTCAGTTTCCTGACCTACCACCGCTAAGGCTAAGGTTTGGAAGAACTACTTGGTGGATTGTGGTTCAGATTATTAACAACCTTGTTAATACATTAGTTATCAACATTAAAGGGGCACTCTACTTATTTCATACATCAGTCTGTTTCCAGATGATGTGGAATAAAAGTTAAGCATTAAGTCTTTTCTGTCTGACGAAAGAGGGTTCAACTAAGTACATTTGTTACGTAAAATAATTATGCTTGCGTAACAGGCGTTAGTAAAATCTGGAAGTTACTTCATAAACTGACAGTAACATAAGTGACGTGTTTGTTTGAGCTACCCATCCTACGCACACTTTCCTGCTCATTCGTTCACACAGCTTCTACAAGTCTATTGTCAGTTCAATGTAAAGACGTTTGACTGCCGAACAAATGATGCTGATGCAGTTTCCTTTTTCTCCTCTCTCCTTATCCTACATGGATAAAAAAAACCTTTGCTGGGACAGTAAATTCCCAACCTGGCGCACACAGGGTAATGGGTATATGAGACAGCATGTTGACATGGACATGTCAACCCATCAAGGAGGGCAGGGCTGTCTCATAGCGTGTGAGAGCATGGAGGGTGTGCAGAGAGAACGACTGATAAGAGGGAGAAAGTTCTGCCTCAGAGGAATTCCTGTGAGGTCAAAGGCCGTGACCCTGAGCTCTGCATGCACATTCTGCCAGACATACATTCTATGTCACAGACCACCTGGCCAGCCAGACACAAACAAATAGAATGGTTGACCTTCACATAGGAACCCCCAATTATATTTGTTACCAGAGAGAGAATGAAGAGATTAGAGAAGTCTGTGTTGTCCATGTCCTGAAAGCAGCTCAGACAGACTCATCAGTGAACAAGGCAGCTGACATGAAAAGCTTCAGAAATATATATGATGCAGATTATCTTCAGTCCTTAAAGGGATATTTTGGCGGGTTTGAAGTGGGGTTGTATAAGGTACTTCTCCATAGTCGGTGTA